CCCCGCCTGCCCTCCACCCCATCGGACCCTCCTGTCTATCCTCAGCCCCTCCCCACTGTGCTCTTCCCTATGCAGGTTTCAGCGCCTGGACTTTGTCTACCTCAATGCTGGGATCATGCCCAACCCACACGTGAACTTCAAGGCACTCTGGCATGGTCTCCTCACTGGGTAGGAGATGTTGGGGGGGGGTCCAGCCCCTGGCTTGCGGGCAGTATGGGGTGCTGGCAGCATCATCGTGGCCAAGGCGTGCCCTTGGGTCCAGGGCTGAAGACCCTATCTCCCTTTCCCAGCATAACACAGAGCACATCCCTGTGGGATGCATGGCCTTGCGTGGGGTGGGCTTGGCAGCTGGGTGAAGTGCTCCAAGGCACCCAGTGTTCCTTCTGATCCCTGGTGTGAGGCCCACTGCCTGCAGGGGGAGGGCAAGAGTTCACTCAAAGCCTGGGGCTCCTGGCACTAGGCATTGGGTGAAAAATGCTGGTGTGTTGCTGGGGAGGTGAAGTTTGCTCTTACTGGGTCTCCTTACTGTTGTTCTGGTTCCACTGGTTTTTGTAGTTGTTCTCAGCTGTGGATCACGGTATTTTGTGAAGCTAATAGTTGATGCTTATTCTATAAGCACCATGGGGATAAGCATCGTTACTCCATAAGCAACATGGGGAAGTTGAGCTGGGGAGCAAAGCGACTTGCATTGAGTCTCATACAGTTTTTGGGGTGTTGAACATAGATGCTAGACTGCTTTCCATATCTGAATTAGGCATGGCCCTGGGGCTTCGCTCCACGCTGGAGCTTGATTTTGTTATCTGAATGTGAAATGGAAGAGCAAGACTTTTTTTAATGGCACTTTACTGTGGTGAAGTGAAGGAAGGGACAAGTCTTCTCTGGTCTAGTCAGTATTGAGATACTTGCAAATAAAGGGGCTAGGATATTTGGTAAACTTTTTCCAGTCATTTTTTCATGGATTAATAGAGCCCATGAAGGTGAAACTAGAGAGTCTGTGTGGCGCCTGTGAGGTGGGGGATACTTCTGAAGGACTGAAGTGGGGGAGTCATAGATGCCTCCTGGCAGTGTTCCTCTCTAATTCCTGTCCTTGGCTTCCAGGAAGGTGCTTCACATGCTGACCACTGCGGAAGGCATAATGACCCAGACAGACAGGCTTAACGGAGATGGACTGCAGGAGGTGTTTGCTACCAACCTCTTCGGACACTTTATCCTGGTGAGGCTGCGTATGACGATCAAGCCCTCGATCTGGTGGTTGATGTGGGTAGGGATAGGTACAGGTGGTACTGATGAATCAGTTCTGCCTTACAGGTTCAGACACTGATGCAGGCTGCAGCCTGACAGATAAGGAATGATAAGGCAAAAGTCTCGGGTATTGTTAAAATAGCAATAAATCATAGAATAGTTTGGGTTGGAAGGGACCTTTAAAGGTCATCTAGTCCAACCTCCCTGCCGTGGGCAGGGACATCTTCAACTAGATCAGGTTGCTCAGAGCCCCGTCCAGCCTGACCTTGAATGTTTCCAGGGACGGGGCATCCACCACCTCTCTGGGCAACCTGTGCCAGTGTTTCACCACCCTCAGCGTAAAAAATTTCTTCCCTATATCTAGTCTCAATGTACCCCCCTTTAGTTCAAAGCCATTCCCCCATGTCCTGTCGCAACAGGCCCTGCTAAAAAGTTTGCCACCATCTTTTTTATAAGCCCCCTTTAAGTACT